CTGCCGCTGCAGCTCCTGCTGAGGCTGGCGTGGGAACAGGCCAAAAATAGCCTGTTCCCGAAACCCTGGTTTGGTGCCTGAGTGTTAGGGCAGGTTGATCTTATGAGGGCCCGAAAGTGGCCCTCCGTTTCAGGCTGAAAAGACTCAGGGCCTGAAAGGCCCTGTTTTAGGCTGAAACGACATAGGGCCTGCAGGCCCTCGTTTTTCAGTCTTTCAGGCTGAAACGACACGGGGCCTGTAAGCCCTTGTTTCTAGGCTTTTAGGCTGAGACTGCGGGACAGGCCCTGCAGGCCCGTGTGGCTGCGCAGTATGCCACAGAAGACGTGGGTGTAGGACGAGGGAGAGAAGAGAAGGATGATGTGAGGGCACATACCTGGTATTGGCGATGGTCTGCTATGGGCGACATCTTCAAGTACTTCGTGGGCTGCTGACGTCAACAGTTGCATTGTCAATTAGTAGGCTAGTAGTAGCTGTGTAGGGAGTAAGCTGGGAGCTGAGCGCCAAGTAGGGAGATAGTCCTGGACACATATGTTGGTGGTGGCGATCGCAAGCTCACATTGACATTTGGTTTTCAGTGGTGTCTTATTGGTGCAATGCTGCTTTCTGGACACTCTGATACGATCTGGCTTTCAATGTGATTATGCAATCTGAATCTTGTCATCTCGCTATTGCTCATTTTCCTTGCAGTTTGGTATCGGAGCTGTTTCGAACTGCACTTCATTGATTATTCGTAATAGCTGCTTGGTGCTTCGCATGAAGTGTGGGGCAGTGATAAGGCTTGGACGTTGAATGATAGGCAGCCCAGGGTCGTGTGGGCGCGTCAGGAAGCTATGTGGTGACATTAGGGGTGTACGCTGGATGATGAGAGCTCGCTGATGTGGCATTTAAGCCGAGGTGGAACTGCAATCTGCTGTTTGTTGTGCCGAGGCAAGGACCGATCATCATAAATGCACATCAGGTTGCCAGTGAGAAATCTGTGGTTGGGGGCAGCATTATGAGGTRCGTTGCTCTCTTCCTTATCTACCCTCTTCATTACTTCTTACCGTGAGGAAGTGAGTTCTTACCCTCTTCATTACTTCTTACCGTGAGGAAGTGAGTTCTTACCCTCTTCATTACTTCTTACCGTGAGGAAGTGAGTTCTGTCTTGAGAGTCCTCTGAAGGGCCCTGGACGAAGCACTCGGGTCACGGTCACCATGCCAACCCGCTGGGACTACCTTCTTAACCCGGAAAAAACGTATACGAATACAACGTGCGGGGTACGTTGTATT